CTTCGGCAAATCACTTAACCCTGTTTGCCTCAGCTTCCTCATCCATAAAATGAGCTGGAAAAGAAAATGGCAAACCACTCTAGCATTTTTGCTAAGAAAACCCCAAATGGGCTCACGAAGACTCAAACAGGACTGAAATGACTCAACAACAATAGCATAGGTCTTCATCTCAAATCCTGCAGTCTTTCCTTACAGATTCCATTTCTCAGATAGTCATTTTTGTTGTATCATGGGACTATAAAATTATAGATTTAGAGCTGGAAGATTTAAACCTAAGAAGTCCAAAGCCCTCATTTTATAGATGAGGAAAATGAAGCCCAGAGAGATTAAGAGACTTATCCAAGTTCTGATGTGACAGAGCTGGGGTCTCAACCCAGTTTTTTTTTGTTTTGTTTTGTTTTGTTTTTACTTCAGATCCTCCCCTTTAGTGACGTTGAATGGGCAAATGATAAAATTAATCTATTTCTTAAACTGTGGATTAGAGACACATCTAAGTGTAGGGACCCAAAAGGAGGTGGGAATGGGCGGGATGGATCACATGGTGTAAAGGAAGGATGACTATTTGTTACTTTAAAAAAAAAAATCCAAACTCAAAGCAACTACTGGAGAATTCAGCAAAGAAAGGCAAGGACAAGGATTATGCAGAATTGGAGAGACCTACATGTTAGTTTTAAGTGAAACTTTTTAAACACCTTATTTTAAATCATCCTAATTGGGGAAGGTTTTTGACTGTCACTTTGGAATAATCTCTGAGCCCTGATCTGAAGCACCCTTAAGGAGATGCTTTAGGAATGCCCATGAGTTTTTAACACAGATGGCCAGAAGGTGTCACTATAAATCCACCCAAAGCACAGCTGAAAGGCTCTCCCCAGGGCTGGGCTGTTGCAGCTCTGAACTTGGCATTCCACTAGTGAACAATATTATCAAAGGATGACTACAGATTTAATAACTATTGACTGAAGATGTTGCTCAAGGGACTCATGAATTGCCTTGGCAGCAAGACAAGAAGTTGGTGGAGGTTTTATATAAGACCTCTCTTCCCTAGGATCTCTCCCATCCTTCATATTTCTGCAAAGTTGTTTGCTCTTGCTTTATATAATTCTGGTAATTATTTGACTGCTCTGTTCGGGGCCAATATCTGATTGGTGAGATTTCAGAAGAGCCGATTTTAAAATAGAAGGAAATGGTTACGGCTGATGGGGATCAAAACTAGAATAGGTTAATGATGCTGTCAAAAACATTAAACAATGTACACTATTCATAGAACCAAATATGTTCAGACCCTGCTCTGTTCCTGCCTTCCCCGAGGGGCAGGAGGTCAGTCCTTCCTCCTCATTTCCTCTGGCGCACTGGGAATCTCTCAGCAGGCAGAGAGGTTTCAGTAGAAGTCAACTTGCCCTCTGAAACAGGGCATAATACGGACCCGGCCAGACAAACTAGCTCTTCTTGATGGAACAGGAAATGCTTTTTTATTAAGCCAGATGAACTAGGAAAAGGAAGGATTGCCTGCCTGTCGTCCAGCAGAACCTCTTCTTCTCTCTCCCCTTCTTTTCCCTCCCACAGTTTGTATAGATCCCTTTATATAGCTGGTGGTCTGGTGGGAAATGTAATGCCCACACACCCGAAGTGCTCAAAAACAGTGTCTATGCTGACACTGAGAAGGCATTATAAACCAGCTACACATCTCACATAGTAATAATAACTAGCATCTATTATAGAGTGCTTTAGGGTCTGCTAAGTATGAGATAAGGGCTATTACTACCCCCATTTTACAGATAAGGAAAGTGGGGCTAAAAAAAAGGTCATCTTTGGAGCTGAATTCAAACTCAGGTCTTCCTGACTCCTAGTCCATCACTGGATCCAGTTTACCCTCTTGCTGCCTAAGTCAGCAGATAACTTCATATTCTGAGGAGAGTCTGTTGACCTGCCCATCTATTTTTCAATTACACCCTTGCCAAAATACGTTCCTTGGTATTCCAGTCCTGGAAGGAAAAGATGGTTTCTAACGTTTAAGAAGGGCTCTACATCCAAACATAACAACAAGAACCACATACACAGCTGCCTTTCCTGAAGAGCTAAAGCTATCTTAGGATGGCTCTGGAATATGTTTAAATACTCTGAATCCAATAATCCCTCAGAAAGGGAATGCAACACTTTTATAGATAAATTTCTGATAACTCCTTTCACCACTATCTTTTTTTAATTTGGATTTGATATGTCAATACAAGAATATTTACTTGAGCAAGGAAAACTGTCCTATACTGTCGTGAACTTATTTTTTTAAACTAAGCAGAATGAGTTGCCATTCATGCCACTTTTGAGATTTTTACAAGTCCTTGATGATTGCAAAGAAAGGAACGTCAGGAGCTAAACTCACAATTTCACTGAAAAACTGGTCCAGTTAATCAGGGCTAAAGTTGTTAATAGTTGCACTAATTTTTCAGTTTCTCTTCGGTTCTCTAAGTGTCACCTTTATGTCCAAATATAACCTTCTACTCCTACCCTCCCTAAGGAGTCATCCCTTGCAAAAAGAATTTAAAAAGAGAGAGGAAAGAAGGTCAGCAAAACTAAGCAATGAATCAACCAGATATAACTATATTTTCATGTTCCTCATTCATAGTATCCATCACACTCCTGCAGAAAGAGTTGTTGAGTTGTGTTTGACTCTTCATGACCCTATTTGGGGTTTTCTTGGCAAAGTTACTGAAGTGGCTTGCCATTTTCTTCTCCAGCTCATTTGACAGATGAGGAAACTGAGGCAAACAGGGTTAAGTGCCTTGCCCAGGGTCATACCACTAATAAGCATCTGAGGCCAGATTCGAATGCAGAAAGGTGAGTCTTCCTTACTCCAGGCCCAGCACTCTATCCACTGTGCCACCCAGCTGCCCTCTGCAAAAAAGAGAGGGAAGTGCATTTTTCTGTGTCTTCAGCCCATCAATCAACTCCAGCTGTCAGGAAGTTTTTCTTAGGCCTATTTACTTTATTCCTCAATACAGGTTAAGAATGTAATTGACATGATAACTCTTTTTTTTTTTTTAGCTAGACAATGGGGTTAAGTGACTTGCCCAGGGTCACACAGCTAGTAAGTGTTATGTGTCTGAGGCCAGATTTGAACTCAGGTCCTTCTGAATCCAGGGCCAGAGCTCTATCCACTGTACCAACTAGCTGCCCCCAACATGATAACTCTTACAAAGGCAACTGTTTTCTCTTGTTCTGGCCAAATCTTTTATCTTTGTCTTACAGTTCTTCAGGTCTCCTGGGCCTATGTTTATCTTGGGATGATATCCTATAGGAAAGGCAGTTGCTGTTGATTGTCCTTCGTTCTTGAAGAGGACCATGACATGAGGGAGGTGATGTCATAACACGCAAGTTAATTAGATTTAAATGAGGCAGAGCTATGAAAAGTCACCAGTCTCGCTTTCTGCTCTGGAGTCATCTGGGTCCAGGGGCAAGAAATAGATCAGGACAACTGGAGATGGCCCTGATACGAAAGACACTGTGGTACAGTAGAAGGACTGTTGGTTTTGCAGTCTGAGTAACAGGGCTCAAATCCCAACTTTGCTACTTACTATGTGTTTTGTTTTGTTTTGTTTTTTGTCTTGTTTTGTTTTTTTTTACAAGAGGGACTAGACTAGATAACCTTTGAAGTTAGGATTCCATGATCACCATGGAAATGTCCACCAGACAATGAACAGTTTGATACTGGAGTTAGGCAGACAAATTATATAGTGAAGAAATATGGCAGAGTGGAAAGCATGCTGAGCTTGGGAGGAGAGTGTGGGTTCAAATCCCCATTCTGATACTTACTAAGTGTATAACCCTTGGCAAATCACTTAATCTCTCAAACTTCCGAATCTATAAAATGTGGATGATGATACTCTACGTGGATGTTGTAAGGAACAATAAGATAAGATATGGGAAACACTTTGAAAATCTTAAAGCAATGTACAAAAGCAATCTTTTTTATTTTTTAAAAAATTAATCTATTTCTTGTCTTAACCTGTGATTTCATTGGTGAGGTGAATTCCTGATGATGAAACTGCCTGTACCAATGCAGATCAGCAACGATGCTCCAATTTGTGTTGTCTGGGAGTACCAAGCTGTTAAATGTCTTGCTCAGGGTCACACAACAAGCAATCCTCAGAGGTACTAGAATACAGTTCTTCATGACACTAAGGCCAGGTGTCTCTTCATCATCTCTACTACAGTGGCTCCCAGTATCATCATTATTATCAATATTAGAGAGCTATCCTGTTCCCAGAGACCAATGCTCACTTCAGATCAATGCTTTTCTCAGTCTTGGTTGAATTAAACTTCTGCTGATCTACCCTTAAAGAAATCTTTACATAAAATCTATTTATTTACAGCCAAGCACACAGTGAGCACTTAATTTTTTTTAAAAAAAATTCATTCATTCACTAACAACTCAACAGAATAGACTAAAACTCATATCTTATAACTGGGTAAAGGACATGAATTTTAAAAAATGGTCTGACAGCTTTGTGAATTAAAACATTTTTGGAGATAAACACAGCACCAAATTGATCACTGTGGCTAACTGCTAGCATCCTTCCTACATGGCCACCACCTGCCACTTGTGGCTACAGTCTTGAAAGATTATATCATTGCCCCTACCTCCAGTCTAGGTAATGAGTATTCATGGCATCCATTTCAAACCAAGTCCAGCCCTGAGTTTGTCTAACCTTCAAAACAATCGACCTATTTCTTTAGCCACCAATATTCCTTAGAGTCTCAATTTTTCCCCTTCCCTTGGTCGGCAGGCACAGTGGACACCAGTGATAGGTAATATTGTTAGTGCAAAAAGACAACATCCATTGCCCTGACACCCCCACAAACATCAGGACTGATAACCCTGAGTTCTTAATAGTTATCCCTAAGCAGGGATATGCAGTGAGCTTCCAAAAGACAGAGTTTTGACCATCACTGAAACGTTCCCCAGAACTCCCTCCCTGCCAATCTGCTTGAGTCAAGAACTGTACCTCGGCAGGAATGATCCATCTTGTTAAACTGGAAGTAACCAGCCTTGCACTGACACAGAGCAACACCTTCCAAATCGGTGCAGATGGATGTCTCTTTGTCACATTCCGGACTTTTCTTTTTACATAAACTACCAGCTGACGAAAGAAAAACAAAGTGTCAGTGGAGCAAAGAGTCATTTAAACATCATCATTTTAAGGGCAATTAACTTAGATTTAACCTTGTGTGTCAGGTGATGACTTTATATTTATTTGTGAGCAGTTTTCAAAAGTCATTGAGGGTGGGAAGATTTATGGACTGTTACAGAGTGAAATGTTTGAAATTAGGGGAAAGATTTACACCATGACCACAACAATGTAAAAGAAAACAATGTTGAAAGACTTTGGAACTCTGATCACTGCACTGTCCAATCATTACTTCAAAGGACTGATGGTGACCCAAGTCTTCTAACTCCTGGCAGAGAGGTGGTGGACTGCAGGTGTTGAATGAAGAATACATTTTCAGATATGGTCAATTAGCTGATTTGTTTTACTTGATTCTACTCATTTGTTATGAGAGAGCGTTCTATGGGGGGAAAGAAAGAATCAGTGGGAAGTTCCAGTGATACAATAAAATAAGAAAGAACATCAATAAAACTTTAAGCATTTTTAAAAAATAAAAGAATCATTAGGGAGCTCAACATTCTCTTCAAGCTGTCCATCTGACCCACTGGTCTCCTGCTAACATTTCCTTCTACTAGCTCCTCCTTTTGCTAGATTTAAGAGCATACAAGCATTTGTCTTCAGAAAATATACACAGAATCGAAAGGGTATGGGTAAGGAGAGAATAGCATAATAAACTCTCTCTTCATTCTTCCCTCACCCCAATGCATGTGGGGACCTGAACACTATATCTATTCAAATTACACAATGTCTTCTGTGCCTATGTGACAAATGGCTACTGGTTCGTTTGTTTGTGGGTAAAAGGACGCCTCTGCCTTTCCCTGAAGTGTCTAAGACAAGTTCTTCTTGAGTTAAAAAAGAATAAGATCAAAGAGAACCCAGATTTTCATAGCAATTAAAGAAAAAAAGAAGGCCAGATGGTTAGGACTCAGACCAGATACAGAATTCTCAGGCATCAAGAGCAAGGGAAACTGAGCTCAGGCGAAAAAGCAAGAATACTGAATTCTCAGGGAGCCAAAGCATGGGGTCTTGACAACAGGAAGAGATTAGATTTGCCAGACTGGACAGAGGGACCTAGAACAAGGGATCTCTGTAAGGCTTACCTCCTAAGTTGGAGTCTAAACATTCTATAACCATCAACAACTGTCTAACTTTCTGTTGCTCTGTTCATCGTCACTGTTGATGTAGGGCATTCAAGAAGACTTTGAATGTGTGGCTGCCATGAATACTCATTACCTAGACTGGAGGTAGGAGCAATGATATAATCTTTCAAGACTGTAGCCACAAGTGGCAGGTGGTGGCCATGTCGGAAGGATGCTAACAGTTAGCCACAGTGATCAATTTGGTGCTGTGTTTATCTCCAAAAAGAAAATTGTATTTAGTTTGTTTCAGACCCACAATCTCATTTCAAGGGTTTGGCTACACGGCCCACTGTCTGGTTTCTCTCGCATCCAACAGATTTCTTTGAGACCCTGGGCAGCACTCAGTGTTGTGAATGAATTGAACCATCTTTTTACTATAATTTAAAAGCATTATAGAGGCAATTTCCTGTCTTTATCAGTGGAAGGTGGTGTGCTGAATCAGAAGACCATATGTGTGTATATAAGAGAACTTCCTTTGTTTATTTTGAAAACTTTGTGTTAAAGGATGAAAAAAATCTCTGCTCTGGAGCTGGCACCAAGTACGTGAATGTGCCTTTATTGTTACTAGTCTAAACAGTGGTGGCCAAACATTCCTTAGAGTAAGTCTTCAATAATCTCTTGTAGCCTTCTGAGATAAGCCATCATTAATTGCTCTCCATACAGGCTAGGGAAGGCTGGTTCAATAGCCATTTTGAATTATTGAGGGTGGGTAGCACTCAGTGGGATGTGTTACAAAGAGAATTATGTCTATTCCGCTGGTTCATACTCTACTTCTCTGACTGCTTTTCTGCTTCCTTTATGGACTCCTCATTCTCCTCCTACCCCTTAAACACTGGGTGCCTCCCAAGGCTCTCTCCTTGGCTCTTTTCTGTGCTCTCTCCATTGGTGGCCCCATTCACTCTTACGTTTTTAATGATCTTCTTAAATTGATGACTCCACATCCAACCTGTCCCCTGAGCTGGGCCCCATAATTCAAAATGCCAGCTGGATATCTCCACCTGACTTTCTTGCTTCCCCTTACTGCTTTATGGAGACAACATGGCATAGTAGAGGACAGCTAGGTGGTGCCGTAGTGCACACAGCACTGGGTTTGGAATCAGGAATACTCGTTTTCTTGAGTTCAAATCTGGCCTCAGACACTTATTAGCTGTGTGACCCTGGGCAAGTCACTCAACCCTGCTTGCCTCAGTTTCCTCATCAGTAAAATGAGCTAAAGAAGGAAATGACAAACCACTCCAGTAACTTTGCCAAGAAAACCCTACATGGGATCACGAAGATTCGGACATGATTGAAATGACTAAACAACAAGAACATATACCAAAGGAGGATGGGGCAAGAAAGGCCTCTTGTAGAAGGTAGGAGTTGAGCTGTTTCTTAAAGGAAGTCATGAGGCAGAGGTGAGGAAGGAGAGCATTCTAGGAATGGGGACAGCCAGTGCAAAGATGGGAGATGGAATGTCATGTTCGAGGAACAGAAATGTGAGTTATTAGTATTTTCTCCATTCACACGGCTACTCCCTAGCTCAGACCCTTATTCTCTCATCTAAACTCTTCCACCAGTTTCCCGATTAGTCTCTAACCCAAGAGTGGGGAACTTGTGGCCTCGAGGCCACATATGGCCCTCTAGGTCCTAGGGTGCAGCCTTAACTTCTGCCTACCTCAGTTTCCTCATCGGTAAAATGGGCACAATAATAGCACCTACTTCTCAGAGTTGTTGTACATTCAAATTCAGCCTCAGACGCTTACTAGCTGAATGATCCTGGGCAAGTCACTTAGCCCTGTCTGCCTTAGTTTTCTCATCTGTAAAATGTACTGGAGATGGAAATGGCAGACCACTCTAGTATCTTTGCTGAGACACCAAATGGGGTCATAAAGAGTTGGACACAACTGAAACGACTGAACAGTAGCAGTTTCCATTCCTTAAGCTTCTCAAATTTGTTTTTTTCTTGTTCTCCCCTTGCCATGATCACATTTTACCTTGTATAATACTTGTGTGTATGTTCACCCTCATAGGTCACAAGTTCCATGAGAGGAAGGACTATGGCATCTTTCATCTCTGTATTTCCAGTACTTAGCACAGTGTCACATACCTCAAGGTAGGGTAGGGGCTGGAAGGAATGGACATGGGGGAACTCCAGATGACTAACCTTCTTCTTCTGGACTCCTTCCTATAGCCTGGCACCTACTCTTCAGTTTATGATAGATCTTAGAGAACTGTCTGGGGGCAATAAGAGCTTAAGTCACTTGCTCAGGGTCAGACAGTGAATCTGAGGCAGGTCTTCAACCCAGGTCTTCCTGACCCCAAGGCCAGCTCTCTAGCTATTATACCATGCTGCCTCTTATTGCAAGAACTTAATAAATGTTTGTTGAATTGAACTGATATAAACTGTCAAACTAAAGACCACAGCTTCATACTTTATGCAAAAAAAAAAAACAACAACAATTTTTTTCTGAGTCCAGAGAAAAGAATTCAGAGTCAGGATGTTGGGCCTGGTCATAAGAAGGGTGAAATCAGGACACAGTTTTGGGTCTTAACTCTGAATTTCCTGTCTTTATCAGTGGAAGTTGGATTTCTAAGTCAGAACGTGTATGTGTGTGTGTGTGTGTGTGTGTGTGTGTGTGTGTGTGTGTGTGTGT